CCAGGGATTTTTTGGAGTATCTGTCACACACAGGGACACCTGTGTGGCTGACCTTACTCTCTAGCTTCTTCAAATGTCAAAACTGATACAGAGACCTAAGGCCCCCCCACCATAAATCACAGTATTAGCATAAACTGCCTAGCACAACCCAAGGACCAGGTAAATAAAGACACTTTTATTAGTGAATGTATCAAGAGCTTGGAGATTGTCTCGCAGGAGTTGGGCAAGTAAGTGCCACACATTTCTTTGGAATGAATAGACTGAACAACTCAGGCCTGTGATGTCATCCTTTATGCAGGTCAAATGAAAATACTCAAAACTTGTCCCTTCGGAATTCTTTTACATTTTATCCTAATCTATGTTCTCAATGTTATTTATGGGTATCTGTATAATGGAAACAGACTATAATGGTGTGCTACTTCACATCTTCCCAAGTCCACACTGGGTGACGTTGAAACCGTGCCCCATAGGGTTAACAGAAGCTGGTGAGTAACAGAAATCCTTGAGTTTGTCTTACAGAACCACAGATAAGGGAACAGCTTGTCAAAACCCCTCTGCTTGTAAACTGCCTTCACTGATTAAGCTCGTTTTAGTTTTTTTCTCTCTTTAGTTGCATATGCTCCAAGCTTCATATGGCCTAAGTAATATCACAAGACTCCCTAACGACCCCTGTAAATAACACCTCTGATGTATGCGTCACTATAGTAAAGGGAGCCCCAGTTGTTTTTTTTGTTTTTGTTTTTGTTTTTTTGGCTGCCTTGGGTCTTTGTTGCTGCATGTGGGCTTTCTCTACTTGTGGCGAGCGGGGGCTACTCATCGTTGTGGTGCACCGGCTTCTCATTGCAGAGCATGGGCTCTAGGCGTGCGGGCTTAATTGCTCCACGTCGTGTGGGATCCTCCCGGACCAGGGCTTGAACCCGTGTTCCCTGCATTGGCAGGCAGATTCTTTTTTCTTCTTTTTTTTTTTCTTTTGTGGTACGCGGGCCTCTCACTCTTATGGCCTCTCCCATTGTGGAGCACAGGCTCCGGACGCGCAGGCTCAGCAGCCATGGCTCATGGGCCCAGCCTCTCCGCGGCATGTGGGATCTTCCCAGACTGGGGCACGAACCCGTGTCCCCTGCATCAGCAGGCAGACTCTCAACCACTGTGCCACCAGGGAAGCCCGGCAGGTGGATTCTTAACCACTGCACCACCAGGGAAGTCCCCCCAGTTGTTTTTTAGGAACTTAAGAGTCAGCTCTTACACACTTTGAGCTAGTTAAGACTGATTGTAACTACCAACCCGTAAAATTTGGCCTGCACAACTGTTCAATGAATGCCCTTTGGACATCAGATGGCCAAAAACTCCACCCTCAGATCATGCAAAGTGACTATTTCTGAACATGCATCCCATGAAGAAGCATGGAATGCAGATACATCCGCACACACTGATCACCTCACCTTTTCTCACACCCTATCACCTTTCCCCACACCTAAGACCACCTTGTGTCTTTATCCCATAAATAACTCAAGGACCCCAACTCCAGGGAGGTGGATCTCAGGCTTGCTCTCCTGTCTCCTCCCTTGGCTGCCCTGTGAATGAATTTTTTCTCTCCCGCAAACCTTGGTGTCTCAGTGTTTGGCTTGTGCACCTCTGGAAATGCTACCTAGTTTGGTAACAACCTCATGTTCACAGCTTGAAATTGCCACAGTTGGAGTATTTGTACCAGGGGAATTGGCAAACACTACAACCAAGGGTCGATTCATTGTTTTATTACTTGTCTAGACTTAAGAAAGTAACAGGGCTTCCCTGGTGGTGCAGTGGTTGAGAATCCACATGCCAATGCAGGGGACACGGGTTCAAGCTCTGGTCCGGGAAGATGCCACATGCCACGGAGCAACTAAGCCCATGTGCCACAACTACTTAGCCTGTGCTCTAGAGGCCATGAGCTACAACTGCTGAAGCCTGCATGCCTAGAACCTGTGCTCCACAGTGAGAGAAGCCACTGCAATGAGAAGCCTGCGCACCGCAATGAAGAGCAGCCCCCGCTCACCACAACTAGAGAAAGCCTGCGCCCACCAATGAAGACTCAACCCAGCCAAAAATCAATTTAAAAAAAAAAGGTAATGGAGAATAAGTTAATGGGGACTGTACACTGGGAATAGCACAAACATTCCACCCAGCAAAGTAACTTCAGAAAACTCAAGTTCTAACACATTTCTTTTATTGTCTTCTTAGTTATTATAAAAAGGGAAATATCAGCCAACATTCACTACCAGTTGGAAAATAACTACTGTGAACATCTGAGATACACAGCTGGCAAATGAACACATTAAAAATGTTCAACATGATGAACCATTAGGGAAATGCCATCAGACCACAGTAAGATAACTCTACACACTTTTTTTTTTTTTTTTTCTTGCGTTATGCGGGCCTCTCACTGTTGTGGCCTCTCCCATTTGCGGAGCACAGGCTCCGGACGCGCAGGCTCAGCGGCCATGGCTCACGGGCCCAGCCGCTCCGCGGCATGTGGGATCTTCCCGAAACGGGGCACGAACCCGCGTCTCCTGCATCGGCAGGCGGACTCTCAAGCACTGCGCCACCAGGGAAGCCCAACTCTACACACTTTTAAAACAGGTTAATATTTAATACATTTAATATAACAACCAAGTACAGGTGAAGAATATAGGGGAACTTGAATGCTCCCATACCATTGATGGGAATGCAAAAGGGTACAGTCATTCACTTTAGAATATGAAACCATATATTCATATAAAGGATTTTATGTACATTCATAATAAGATTATCTGTGATAGCCAAACCAGAAACAAACCACAAAACCCCATCATTTAACAGATGAATGGATAAACAATCAAAGGGTGGTATATCCCAACAGTGTATTTTTCAGGAATTAAAACAATAAACTATTATGGAATTTCCTAGTGGTCCAGTGGTTAGGACTCCATGCTTTCACCGCTCAGGGCCTGGGTTCAGTCCCTGGTCAGGGAACTAAGATCCCACAAGCCTTGCAGCATGGCAAAAAGAAAAAAAAAACAGAACTCTTCACATCAGCAACTTGGATGATTCTCAAGATAATTATGCACCATGAAAGAAAAAGGCAAATACAAAAGTAAACACATTAAGATTCCAATGATATTAAAACTCTAGAAAACATTAACTAATCGAATGTGAAAGAAAGTCAACAGCAGTTGCCTGGGAGCCCATGGAGAGATGTCAGAAGGTAGATATGGAACTGATGGATGTTTGTTATTATAATGATGGTTGTGATTTTACACATACTAAAACTTACCAAGCTGTACATTTTAAGTATATTCAGTTCAGTGCCTACCAACGATATAGCTCGATTAAGTTTTAATAAAAATTGGCTTCACATAAAAATCTGAATCTCCTTTTTGGAAAAGTAGAACTCTGGAAACCAACACATTAACTCCATCACCTCTTCTTGTCTCATGGGAGGTACTGTCACAGTAGCAATAAAGACACCTGTCTTTATAGCAATGAAAGGTGTTTCTGCTTGAGTTATCCAGGACCTCTTTCCGAGTCATAAAAATAACATGCCAGGACTACACGATTTTCCCCTTCCTCATTTTTTCTTTTCACTGCAGCAACGGCCTTGAGATAAACAATTTGGAGATGCTATGGGATCCTAAAACCTTTACAGTATTCAGTCTGACACTGACTTGGACCTCAGGAGAAGAGAAAAAGCCCTGTACCTCCTAAGGATTTCTGCAAAAACTTTATCCTTAATGGCCATAATCCCGGTACATTTGTGAATGCAACTTTTTTATTTTCCTAAAGATCCCAAATTACAGCAATTTGTCTTTTTATCAGAGTACAGTTGCTTTACTGGATGCAGCTTTAGAAAAGGCTTATCCCTACTTGTTTGCTTGTCTCTCACTCCCTGTTAATTCCCTGAGTGTTTCTGTACCAAATATGGTTCCCACCTAATGTCTGTAATCTAACGCTCAGCAACACCAGCCTACCACGTTGTGGACATTATGGCTCATGGCTCTTTTCCAGCTGGACTTAGAGAACTTCTTCTCTTGAACAGTACTGGGGGTATGATGTGACATCTGCTGTGTAAAAGAGAGCAACTCATGCTGCTCCAAAAAACACTGGTGGGGCTTCCCTGGTGGCACAGTGGTTGAGAGTCCACCTGCTGATGCAGGGGACACGGGTTTGTGCCCCGGTCTGTGAATATCCCACATGCCGCAGAGCGGCTGGACCCGTGAGCCATGGCCGCTGAGCCTGCGCGTCCGGAGCCTGTGCTCCGCAACGGGAGAGGCCACAACAGTGAGAGGCCCGCATACCACACAAAAACAAACAAACAAACAAAAAACACTGGTGGTTCTCACAACTGTCCTCATCTCAGGGTGATGTCAGGACCCACCAAAAATTCTGATATCCAGGTCACAACATTATTCCCACAAAGCCCTGCAGGAGGCCTTGGACAGCAATGCAAATTAGACACAAACTGCAATGAAAACTATTCTCTGCCATGATACTAGCCCCAGTGAGGTATACAAAATTCCCAAACAGGTGACATAGAGCTAGAAAAATCCATCCGGAGTATGACATGAAATAATGCCGCTGAAAAAGGTAACCCTCTGTAAGCCACCAGCAGAACCCAGACTGGGTCACCTTGGTCAAAGCTGGTTAAGTCCATGGCCTAGTCAGACACAAGAGAATGATAACACCCAAGTGCTCAGGCTACTCATGCTTCCCTCCACAGGATGCGAGAGCACAGAGGTCTACCTACCCTGATTACACTGAGGCGACTGCCACTTGGTAGAGGTAAGATGATTTTTACCACAGAAACTCACACTGACGTTAGTCTGGCAAGGACCCTGCACAGGTTAGAAAGTAGAGTGTAGCTCCTTAAAAGCTTCCTATGAACCTGGTACTCACAGGCAATCTACACACTAGGGCTGTTCAGATGTATGGCATTCAACTTCCAGTTGATGACTTCCTCACAGAGCCTATTCAGTATGATGTATTAACTAAGGAGACAGCTCATTCACTGCTCTCATCTCATTTGAAGGCCTTTCTCCAGTATGAACTTTTTGGTGACGAATGAGGTTAGACCTTCGGCTGAAAGCTTTCCTACATTTGCTGCATTCAAAGGGTCTGTCTGGGCTGTGAAGTTTCTGGTGCTCAGTCAGAGCAGACCTTTGACTAAAGACTTTTCTACATTTGCTACACTCAAGAGGCTTCTCTGTAGTGTGAACTTTTCGGTGTTGAGTAAGTTGGGTGTTTTGGCTAAAGAATTCTCCACATTCAGTGCACTCATATGGTCTTTCTCCAGTGTGAATTCTCTGGTGTTGAGTGAGGCCAAAGCTTTGGCTAAAAAGTTTCCCACATTTAATGCATTTATAAGGCCTTACTCCAGTGTGAACTCTCTGGTGCTTAATAAGAGTAGAGCTTTGGCTAAAAAGTTTCCCACATTCATTGCATTCATATGGCCGTTCACCAGTGTGGATTCTCTGATGTTTAATGAGGCTGGGACTTTGGTTAAAGAATTTCCCACATTCACTGCACTCATAAGGCCTTGTGCCTGTGTGAACTCGCCGGTGTTTAATTAGGTTGGAGTTGGACGTAAAGAATTTTCCACATTCATTGCATTTATAAGGCCGTGATCCAGTGTGAATTCTCTGATGTTCACTGAGGCTGGAGCTTTGGCTAAAGAACTTCCCACATTCACTACACTCATAAGGCCTTTCTCCAGTGTGAATTCGCTGGTGCCGAACAAGTGTGGGTTTGTTGCTAAAAGCTTTCCCACATTCCCTGCATTCATAAGGCCTTTCTCCAGTGTGGACTCTCTGGTGCTGAATAAGTATGTGTTTATAGCTGAAGGTTTTCCCACATTCACTGCATTCATAAGGCCTCTCTCCAGTGTGGACTCTCTGGTGCTGAGCAAGCCTGTACTTGCGGCAGAAGGCTTTACCACATTCACTGCACTTATAGTGCCTTTGTTCATTGTGAAAGGCTTCCACACATTCGGTGTCCTTTTGTGGAGTGACCTGGTGCTGGAGAAGCCTAGAGCTACCAGGGAAATTCTTCCCAGCCTCCTGGCATGTGGAAGACTTCTTGGATGCATGGACTGTGTGGCTGTTCATAAAGGCCTTACCCACCTCTCTTCTAAAGAGTTTCTTTCCACTGTGCTGGTGAAATTTCACACCTGAACCACACAGTTTCTGGCCAGCGTTTGTTCCGAGGTCCTCAGCTAGATGCAAACCACCTTCTGAGTCTGGGCTACACCTCTCCCAGGGATAGGCCTCCTGGGTGGACAGGTTTATCTTTGAAGTATTTATTCGTGGCACTTCTACAAAAACATTCTGCTCAGAAGGTATTTCCTTGACCTCTGCTCCATGCCAACAACCTGAAAGCACAGACATATGTATGAACTTCATGTAGATTTTGGTAGAAGGAGGCAGCCCCATCACAAATATCAAATATGTGTCTGACATACCAAGGAAATAATCCATGGGACTGTTTTCAGGACAAGGGAGCTGGGGGCAGGTAAAGAAAGCGCAGCTGTGCAGGACTGGGTCTCTCCCAGTCACAGAACAGGGAGGACTCACCAGGCAAAAGACACAAGGATGGGGTGGAGCACACGGAGGAGCTGGAGTCCACAACTCACTCCTCCAGGAACAGTTTTCACCAGGGCCTTGGTTGCTGGTGACACATGTGTGCTGTATGGAAAGCTGTGTGCAGGCCCAGGAAAATCCGACTGTCACTGAGTAGCTGGTGTTCAAGGACTATTTTGAGGATAGGTGCAGAACTCATGACACGTTAAGTGTAGGCCAATACTGAAAAGCACAAAGGAGTGAGGTTGGAGAGGACCAATGCGGAATGGAAGACAGAGAAGTGAGGGATAATCCTGGGTTCGAAGTCAGAGTAGATATGACAGAAGGAGTAAAGTGTCAAGAATGGGTAGGAAAGATAGAAATGAGGTACACAGTCACTGTCCTTGGCACCAAAACATTGCTGGGCACAGGACATGTTCGTGATATGACTTGACTCCAACCATAATATCACATCCTTCCCCTGATGCCAATCACCAGACCCAGGTTCACTTTGAGCCCCTCATGTTGTGCCTGGAGTCATGTCCACTCTGTCAAGTACCCAGGGTTCTCCTCCCAGCTTCACTTGGACAACATGCGACCTAGAAAATGCAAGTCCTAAGGGAAAGACAGGACAGGTGAGTGGTCAGTACTGGCCCACAAGGGCAATCAATTCCAAAACAATCTCAGGAAAGAAAAACAGGATCACATATTGAAACTTTGAAGAGAATATCACAGCAACAGCCAGGTGGACCCCACAAACAGTGACCATGTCGGGTCCGAGCAATTCCTGGTACTGTCAGGCCCCAGGAAATGACAGCCAGAAAAGGGCAGAACCTGGAGTACAGAGGTGGCATGGGTCTACAGTCAACTTAGCATGGAGTGGCTGAGACTAATGAAACCCACTGGACTAATTCCAAGTCATTTGACACAGAAAACCTTCACTGAAAAAACTTCTGAGCACTTGGCATTAGGTCTACTTGTGAAAGGAGGACATATACACACTCAGCCTTAGCACCGACAGCACAGATGACAGGGAAGCAGTAATAGAGATGTGCCCACTGTCTAGCTGTGAAAAAAAGACTTGCCTTTGGAAAAAAGGGGAAAGGCAGAGGCCTGCCCAGGATGCTGGGATAGGTGTGAGGGCCTTACCCAATGATGCAACAAGTGCAAAGGTCTCCAGCATGACATCGTGGTACAGGAATCTCTGGGCCTCATCAAGAAGCCTCCATTCCTCCTGGGAAAAGTACACAGCCACGTCCTCAAAGGTCACAGAGCCCTGTGATGACAGGGACAGGTGTCTCCATAAGCAGCCTCTCTCCCCAGGACCCCATAAGTACCCCTAACCCATACTCACTCTGGGTTCATCATCCTCCCCAGCTCCCTAACTCAGAGGGCACTGGTACCGAATAACTCTTCGTGCTTCCTTGAGCACTAGGTACAACTCTAAGCAGCAACAGGCAGGTGGACAGATAGATGCCATCTAAGCTGTGGACCTGGTATACAGGGCCCCCAACCTCTCCTGCGCGACAACAGCCTGAGAGTCCCCAGGATCACGTTACCTAGACACAAACAAACTTGGCCTCATCCTCCTCTCAAACTCCTGGTATGAGGGCCCTGGGGCAACGTGGTCACACACCTTCCCCACATGCATATTACTCACTGGCTAACTCCTCATACAACTGATCCCCACCACCACCACCACCCGGCCCACGAAATTGGCATGTTTCCTGCCTCCTCACATACCCTCTGCACACGGCATCAGAAAGTGCTTGCCAATGCAACAGGATCCCACCGTACCCCAACTCTCCACTGGTGGTTCCCCAGCCCTGTTCTGAAGGCTTCCCCGCCAGGCCTTGTTCCTGACTTTAACCTCAGTCAAAACATGCAGATCTAAATACCCCTGGTCTGGTTCCACTTCTATATTCCTCACTATGTCTCTTCACCAATTAGAACATTGTCCATATAACACCCATTTAAAATCCACACCCACTTGACATACCTAAGGTAAACTCATCTGACATTGTGACAGAAACTCCCCAAGTTCCACCACAAAAGCCTGGTGAGTGCATAGGAGGAGAAATAATAGCAGCCTGACTTCACTATCACTTCACTTTCATTTCTGCTTTCCCTTTGCATCAATTTCACAGCCACTCTCATGAAAACCTGGGCCACCTGCTGGACTTTCACCACCCCCTTCTGTGCCACTGATGATCAGTCCTGTTCCTTGAATGTCTTTGTAACACCCAGAGCCCCCCTTTCCTCCCTTGTCCCCTAATGCATCCTGAACCCTCTCCAGCACTCTAGATCTGCATGTTCAGCTGTCCACTTGTCTCCTATACTTGGGAGTCACTGAAACAGCTGAGATGCAACATGGCCAAAACCCAAATCCTAATACTCTCACTAAAAAGGACTCCTACCACTGATTTCTGCATCTCAGTTTGATGGTAATTCCACACTCCCAGATGCAAAGGGAAAAAACTCTGGAGTCATCTGTGATCCCTCCACCTTAGAAAATCTGGTCAGCCCCTACTTTAAAAGCAAATCCAGAAGCCAAGTGTTTCTCCTACCTCCACATCCACCCACCCTGTCCAGCCACAACCAGTGCTTATCTGGATGACTGCAACAGCCTCCTTGATAATCTCCTTGTCTTCCTCTCCCCCAGTCTGTTATGCACTCTGCACCCATGGGTAGCCTTTTAAATCCTAAGTAAGATCACTTTTCTCCTCTGTTTCAAATATACCATGGCTGCTATCACTCTCAGAACAGATTTCTGAGAGTACCATTCTGGGTGCAACTTCTCAAAGTACCACTCTAGGCCTGACACCAGCCCCCTTGCTCTCCATCCTCACCAGACATTAACAGAGACCTAGAAGTCCTAGAACACTCCCATCTCACTCTCATCCCCAAGCATTTGTACATACTAACCCCTGTACCTAAGACAACCTTTCACATCTCCGTCCACTGGCTGCCAAAAATGGGTATCTGTCTATATAACCTCTGGCCTGGACTTAGAAACCTGGGCTTAGGGTTTCTCTAGGGTCTTGAGATACCAAGGCCAGGACGGGTGGCAGCAAAAGAGTTCCAGGACACCTGACACTCACCAGTGCAGTGTCCATAAGTGGTTCTGCTGAGTGTGGAACCTGTGGGAAGAGCAGGGCCATGTAACTTTAATTCCCATCAGCAACATAGACGAAAAAGAAGATTAATGAGTGAACCGTTTAATACTGAAGTCAAAGATAAATGCTCAAGGGAAAAATAAAGCATGTAAAAGAGGGCAGAAAATGTTATAGAGTTGTGCCATAAAGTCACATGGATAACTTGAGAAAAGGCTTCTCAGAAGTGGGACAAAAAAGGTGAAAATCCTCTCTGTCAGAGTCATGCCTGGTGTGTTTGAGCAGCACCCACGAGGATGGTGTGACTGGAGCCCAGTGAGCCAGAAGAATAAGGGATCGTGTAGGCGAGGAAGTGGTTTTGGCAGGTCATATAGCACTGTTAAAGCCCTGAGCCACAAATATCAAAATTTAGTCTCATTTTATGTACAGGTCTGTTTCTGACACTTCCAGACACTTCCATTTGTTTCCCTTTTTCTATCTGTTTGTCCCTTGCCTATAACAGATTTTTCTCTTCCCATAGCTTGTAGCTGGCCCTAACAGGTGGCCAGGAGTTCTTATACTTCCTTTTCAAATTTTAGTCTGGTTATATTAAAAATTATTGTTTTATATAAAATTCCAGCTTACATAATCCATAGATTAAATTCTGATTTGAAATTACTATAACATTGTATAGTATAATTTAAGAATATGTACTTTTAATACTTATCCATATTCGTTGGTGTTAAATTTTCCATAAATATTCAGATTATCTGTAAATTCCTACATGCTTTTCTCTCTGGTGGAAGAGAACAGAACCACCATTTTCTGACTATGCATTCAAAATGAATCTCTGATAAAGAGGTTGTTCCTAGAATCAGTAAAAGTGCTTGGCCTCCAGCAGTTGGGGATAACTGGACCTCATTTTGGACTCTTTAAACTTAAGAGAAAGGAAATAAGATATAGGACCTGGCCTGTATTCCATCCTCATTATAGACATGGAAATATCTTCTTGAGCTCTTAATATCCTGGTAGGGTTTCGAAGCATTATGACTTTTTACCCTTACAATGATTCTTTTCAGCCCCCTTAAAACAAGTATTTTAACAAAATATTTTAATCATTTTCTCTTACAAGATCACCAGAGGAAAATTATTTAACAGTAAAATAAATATTAGTGGAAGAGCATAATCTCTTAAAACACGAAAACCCTCTGTGTGTGTGCAGACTGTAAAAAAGTAAGTTTATGTAAGGCATAAGTGTGTGTCAAAATATAACTGTGAAATAGTTTAAGTATAATTTTCATTCAAAGAACTAAGTTAAAATTAGTAACACGGAGCAAAACAAGATGAGTAAGTGGAAACGTTAATTTAAATACAATAAAAATTTTAACATATAAACTAGACAGATGTGTGCTTTATATACTCCAGAACACATTCCAAGTATGGCTACAGTACTAGTGCTTATAGATACAGAAAGCAAATCGAAAAAACAAACAAACAAAACCCAAACAAAAAACCATAGGCAAGAAAAGGCCTTCAACAGGAAAACGTACAGACATTTTACTCATGTATTCATATCTACAGAATACTATACAAAAAGGAAAATAAGATACCCTGCATGAAAAACATGGGTAAGGTCACACCATATTGTGCAAATGAAGAAAAACACATCATAATACTTATATGATTCCATTAATTAAGTTTTAAAACAAGCGACCGGAACTAAACTACAGCCATCGAATATTTTCCACATAGTTGGCAAAACTATCAAGAAAAGCAAGGAAGCGTTTACTTTAAACAATCAGACAATACTTTAACTTTTGAGGGATGGGTATAATTGTTTTGAAGGACCCCACTGGCGGCTTCTGGGATCGCATTTTTTGACCTCAGCGCTTAACAGATACTAATTTTAGAGCTGCTTATTCAACTGCTTGTATAAGTTCTGTGCAATTTTTCTCCACGCAGGTCATTATTTTTAAATTAGGAAAACCAAGGTTTGGGGGCATGAATAAATATAGGACACGCGTAAGAAAAAATTGGTAAGATCAGAAACAGTGCAGAATGAGAAGAGTTGGGGGAGGGCCCTGAGGGCGCAGCATTTACCTGAATCGGACCCATCAGCGCTGCCGCCGCCAAGGGAGTCTGTGTGCGAAGGTGGGGCCCGGGCAGTGCAGCCCCCGTCCCTGCCCCGCAACAGAGTCAGGCTGGATGGCGCCCACGCCGAGCCTTGGACCCGCCTCAGAGCTGCCTCAGAGCAGCGGGCACAGCAGCTTCCTGGTTCCCAGATCTTGGGCTGGACCAGCGTCCTCAACCTCACCACCAGGGAACAGATCCGTGTTTACAAAATGTCGCCGGCGATCCACGCCGGAAGGCCCGCCCAACCGCCGTCCTCCAGAACGGAAGTGCCTCTTCCCGAGTCTTCATTGGTCCAGTGCTCCTGACGCGCGGCGCAGTGCTTTCAGGGTAATGTAGTTCACAACGCTCCCGTCCCCGGCAAGAGGCGGTGACCCCCAACCTCCAGAGAAATGTTCCGCCTCACCCGAAGTGTTGCTGGGAAGTACAAAGGCTGTGAGCACGGGGCGGGGTTTCACGTTTCTTAAAGGGGACGCACCCAGATTTCCTTGAAATGTAGTCTGTGCTGATCACAGAGAGGTACAGTGACAATAATATTTCAGATGTTCCCCAAACCGGCAAAACCAAATGGGCACATGATACCGGCTTGTCGCTCAGACACAAAGTGCATCCATGCTGAGCTGGAGTCCAATAAACATTGTCTTGTTGATCTTCCAGTACGTGTAGGCTGAAGCTTTAGACTCATTTTATGAGCCTCACTGTTAGGTCAGGGTCAAGAAAGTAAAGACTTCAGACAGGGCCACGCCGGGCAAGACAGAGGAGGGATGTGGGGCAGCCAGAAGCAGGTGGACCAGGCGCTGTGTCTCTGATTCCCTCACAAAAAAAACGTAAAGCCTGTGACACTGTCCTATTCAGGGACCACACATACTTCTTGCTCTACATTTTAATATGTATTCAGTTCTTCTCTAGAAGCTAAGATCTACATATCTGAAAAGAAGAGGGACTTACCATATGCAACTTTCTGTCTGGAGAGTGACTCATAGTTTATTTGGAAAGGGGGCATCTGAACCCAGAGATAAAGGATTGGATTACATGATCTCCTTTCCTTGCTGGAGAGTCAATATAATTTCACCTGCAAGTGCAGTGAAAATGCATGGAGAGTTGAGCGTATCTCAGGAAAATATTTGTGAAATGTTGAAATTGCTGAAATCAATCATTATTTAGTTATTCAAAAGTGGTGGCCAAAATAGCTCTTGGCCATGTGAAAGAGGTTAGGATCTCAGTGAAAACTGAAGGAACACTGAAGTCTGAGAATGAGGGAATGAATCTGAGCGCGTAGGTACACAAGAAATTTGGCTAATCTGTGGATATAGCTCTCCAAGTTGTGACTTATTATTTATTTAAATCATTTTTTAGTATACCAAACAATGCCAGCTTGAAGGGTGACATAGAGAGAGCAGATATCTTTGCCAGAATGCTAAAAACAAACAGGGCATCTGTGCCATCATATTTATACCCTACTTAACAAGCACTCATTAAGTGCCTACTCCATTCCAAGCACTATTTTGGCTGCATGGGACCCATCAAGATCCAAAGAGACAAATATCCCTGCCCTCATGAGTCTGACTTTCTGGTCAAAGGAGATGGACAGTAAAAATTAATGACAACATAGTCTATTGCATAATACTTTTATGTGTTATGAGAGTTAACCAAAATTTCAGAAATGAATACCTGATTGAAGTTAAGACGCATTTATTTGGGGCTTGTTAGGACTGCAGCCTAGGAGACACAGTTTTGAGAAGCACTAAAATTGTGGTCCCCTGGACTACAAAATGGAGGAAGGTTATAAAGGCAAAAAACAGAAGAGCACAGTTAGTTCCATAAATTGTTTATGAAGAATTATAATTGGAGCTGTCATGAAGTAAGGGTGCTTGTAAAGCAAGGATTGATTGGAGTTGGAAATGTCTGCGTAGTTACAAGGAGGACTCTTGAGACCACAAGGCTGTAGGTAGCAGATATTTTTAAAATGTCTAATGTCTGCTATCAAACTGAACTTGGGTCTACTCGCCCGCTGTGCAGCAAAGCTAATCTACTAACACTGGGTTATGGTGAAGGAAAGTACAGTGTTAATTACAGGGTATCAAGCAAGGAGAACAAGCAGCTGTAGCTCAAAAGACTCAAACTTCCTGATAGATTTTAGGGACGGGCATTTAGAGGGTTGAGGGAGGCAGCTCGTGGACTTTCTTCTGATTGGTTGGTGTTGAGGTAAGAGGGTGATGTTTCTGGAATATAACGGTTGTGGTCAGCATCCTCCACCTGGGTGGGGGTCTAAGTTTCTGCAAAACAGCTCAAGTATATGTGTCAGGTTATGTGTGTGTGAAGATACCATGTCACTCATTAGACATCAGAGAATTCATACTGGAGAAAGGCTTTATGAGTGTTTTGATGTAGGAAATTCTTTTGTTGCAGCTCCACCCTCATTAGACATTGGACAAATCCCACTAGAGAAAGGCCTTATTAGTGCAGCTAATGTGAGAAATTTTTGTAGTAAAACTCCAGATTTGTTACACACCAGCAAGTTCACGTTGATACAAGGCCTTATAAGAACAGCGAATATGGGGGACTTCCCTGGCGGTGGAGTGGTTAAGAATTCGCCTGCCAATGCAGGGGACACGGGTTTGATCCCTGGTCCAGGAAGATCCCACATACATCGGAGCAACTGAGCCCGCGTGCCACAAGTACTGAAGCCCGTGCTCCTAGAGCTGGTGCTCTGCAACAAGAGAAGCCACCTCAATGAGAAGACTTTGCACTACAAAGAAGAGTAGCCCCTGCTTGAAGCAACTAGAGAAAGCCCGCGTACAGCAACAAAGACTGAACACAGCCAAAAACAAAAGAAAAAAGAACAGCAAATATGGGAACTTCTTTACATATGATTCTGGCCTCATTAAACATTG